AGGGAATAAAGCACATCTCTCTATGCTGCTCTGACCAGACAGTTGGATTACCTGGAATGCCATCATTCTTTATTGTTTTCACTTTGAACTATGTTATTATGAAGAAAGAAATTCCACACTATTTCAGTTAGACTCTAGGATGGAACATATTCATAAGTTACTGTGCTATCCACTCTTTGCCCTCTTTGGTCCACTGAATCCTAAATTCTTTGCTGTGAAGCAGACTTGCATGAATGGCAGATCTTTACACCAATATGGACTACAGAGTAGTAGTCAGCACACCTGTTTAAGACTTGGGAAATGAGAATTTTACTTCAGTGGGAAAAGAGGCAAATGGAGAGCAAGTTCCCCACTAGCTACTGGAGGATGTGTTTTTTGGGTAGGTGGTTAGAGTCTGAAGGTTTTGTTCAGCAACTTTTTTATTTTTAGAGAAAACATTACCACAGAAATGAAATTGGTATTAAATGATTTAAAAAACCATTATTTGAGATATGTTAAATCTTGGAGACTGTAATGGCATGCAATAGTATACAAGGACATGAAGGGTGTATTTTCAGTATTACAAACTCTGTAGTATAGATTCCTAGTTGCCCAAGACCAAAGCTCACAAACCCACATAGTGAGAGGTAAATTCAACCCACATTTGCTGTTTTGCACATTGAAAAAGCGTAAATAGAAGAGTGTTACATTTAGGTCTGGGCAAAAGTCGATTAACTGTGCTTCTACTTTTATTAGGTTGGACTGTTTGCTTAGTTGTGGAAAACCTGACTTGTCAGAGCATGTTCAGGGTAAGGATTACCCTGTTTTTCTCTGACAAGTCAGGTTTTGGGCAAGCTAAGGACTAGCCTAGTCTATTGTCTTAGCTTCCAGAAGTCAAAGTTTTCCTAAAAAAGTTACATCTGCATCATTATGTTTAGATGAGGTACCCAGGTGAACTTATTTTCCACTTTTTAAATTTTAAAACCATGTTTATTATGGGCTTCCAGAATTCCTTTGTGAATTTTTTTTTTTAAACCTCTTGATTTAATCGGTACTTTTGAAAAACACTGTAAGAAGTAAAACATACTGCTAGAAAATTATTGAGCAAAACCTTGAGGCTAGCATTCAGGAAGCAAAAAGTCGAGATTGGGAGACATTTGGCAGTAAAATAATTTGAAAACAGATGCAATACATATCTGCAGTTTTTAGACAGAAATCGAAAACTAGACTAAATAAAACACCATGATATGTTCTGCAAAGAACAATCCTCCAGAAGTTGATGATTTTATACAATGTTTTTGTTATTTGGGCAAGTGTATCTGTGCTGAACTACTACCACCTTGCACAGAAGAAAAGTACTTGTTTGCCCAAATAACTGACTGCTGTATCTGATATCCTAGGTGCAGATAAAGCCTTATGTTTCCATATTTTCACATCTGCAAAGTCTCTGCAACTCAGGAGTGTACTCGAGTGAGAGACCCTCAATGTACATTTTCAAAAAGTGGTGAAAAGTAAACATGTATAGGAACCTTAACACTGGGTGAAGCTTTCTGAGGATGTGGTAGTTGCCAGGAAGTTGCTAGGTTCACGTTTTTGTAAGAAATGCAAATACCAACCTTTGCTTTCAAGCCTGTGTTCTATATGATATGAGATCCAGTCAGATGACTGAGATAATAAAAAAAAATCCTTGAATGAGACTATGAAAAATACTTTATAATTGAAGCTTACATGTTTTTCAAATAAGTTGCAGCTGAATCAGAATGATTGGAATATACTTAGGGATGGAAGGTGTTGGGGAGGGATGGGATTGAAATGAGTGAAGTGGAAAACTCACATATGAAGGTGTAATTCAGGTACAGGATATGACTGTGGTTTTTTAATAGTCCTGAAAACATGGAAGTGGTTAATGTAACCATCAAGAAGTGCCTGAGATTTTGTCACCACAATCTCATGGGAGGGTTGGGTTGGCAGGGTTTTGGCTTTTTCATGCCCTTTTTTTTTTTTCATACTAATATTGTGGAGGAAATAAACTAGGTGAAGACATAATAAAGATTAGGTCATCAGTCATTATTAGAGTTTTAAATACAGTTATGAAACAAATGGGAATGAAATAATATTAACTTACTGAAGGTCAAAGCAAATTTTACTGTGCCTGAATTCTAGTAACAAATTTTTTTCTTGCATGGTATGCACTGGGTAGAGAGATTATTAAATCCTGCCTAGTCTGAAACTTTCCAACATATGAATATCAAATAGCAGTTTTCATAATTGTGATTAATTTTTGATTTGTTTGCAAATGGGAAAATTTTTTTTCAGTCCTGGATTTATAATAAGCAGTTTTCGGGTTGCAATGTGATGATGAAGTAATTTGTGCATTTTAAATTGAAGTAGAAGTTGGCTCTACTGATAAACCCTAAATTATGAAGACTTTTTAAAGAGATTTAGCTAAACTGAAATGTATAACTGTAAATTTAAAATTTTGTAACTTGGTTTGTTATACTTTATCTTAGGAGCACAATATTTGAACGCTATTATGTAAATAATACAGGCTAATAATACAGGTTATCAGTATAAATCAGTATTAATTTCTGTTTTTCCAAATAATTTCCTATTCCAGCAGGCAGTCCTTAGCCTCCTTTAGTAGTTAGAGCATGCACTTGGACGCTGAGTACACAAATCACATACTCATCTCAAGAGTGAGTCCTAAATACTGACATAATTCTAGAATGTAGAAACAGTGTTCATTAGGTGCTCAAAGAGTAATATTTCCTGATATGGCATTGGCTTTGGTGGATCAGCATTTTTCTGTGTCATTATAGGAGGGAAAAGTACAACTTAAATGCCTATAGCATTGTGACTTGATAGCAAGTATTCAGCGTCATACTGGAAATCCATAAGACATTTTTTGGTCTTGCAATGGGCTATATGGACTCAGACCATGTTGTAACTCAACAGATTCCCTGGAAAAGCAGTTCAGAAGAAAACCCCCCTCTCAGGGGACCAAAGAAAACCCCCCCCAGACAAGAACAAACAAAACTTTACCTACGCTTAAGCATTCCTTTGTAAATTAAATGTAGATTAAAGCGTCAGAATGCCACGGTGGTGAGATAGTCTTCACACTTTTTAATTAAACTAATGGAGTTTTAGAATTGTTGTTACTTATTGAAAGACTGAATGCCTTTTCCAGTTTATAAAGGCAAAGCAAGACGAGATAAAACTGCAAATAATCCCAAGGAAGAAATGTTCAAAATAAGTGCTTTGTTTACTGATCTGCTACCAAAAGCAAGACAGATCTTTATTCATTTGGATACTTTCAGTAATGTTTCCTGTAAGAAGGGATCCAGGATTAGAGTTAATGGGAGAAAGTAAATGAGAATTTTTTTTTGTTTGCTGCATTACTAAGTACTTTTTAAATGCCAGGCAATGGGTGAGGCAACTGTTTTTGTTTACCCATTGTTTTCTAAGCAAAACAGAAAAAGAAATTGTTATGAAAATTAATTTAAGACAATCAGGTTTCTTTCACTAAATCCAAACAAGTTGTTCTTAAAATTATGAGTAGGAATAAATTATTTATGTTAAAAAATGTTAGCACAGAAACAAGTATTGTTTCCCATACTTTAGCACTAACTCTTTAGTTAGAATAGAATGTTGTTTCTTCTCTATTTTCATCTGAGGATTAGTTTTTAGTTTGTCTTTCTTCTGTGGATAAAAGCTACTGGTGAAAAAAGCTACTGTTCATTTTATTCTGTGGAGAGAAAGGGCAGAATAGGGTTATAAAGAAGGCTGAATAACAGTGTTTGAGTAGAATAACCATCTTGGATTTGTTTACTGCTAGTGACATCAGATGTCTAACTCAAGAGTAATAGTGATCTAGAAATCAGTGAAAACGTAAAAGGTTTGGTACAGATGTCTGTCCATATCAACAATATTACATGAAGAAAGTATGCATGATACTGGTGCATCTGAGATTTGTCTCTTAAGTTTTTGATCCAATTTATTGCTCTCAAAATATTTTTGTTTTTGTTGTTTTCATGCTTTCGTGGTAGGTACTGCTAAGAAACTGAATAGAGGATGATGTGCACAAATAGGCAGGATTTTAAAATTAAACCTTAAGGGGTAAACCTGGCCTTAATTTGAAATTATACGTGAAAATTCACTTTTATTTCTTTTTACTTATGTACTTACTTAGCTGTATTCATGTATTCAGAATTAAAATAAGTCACAGAAATTATCAATAAAGCATTAGAGAATACTTTTTCATTCTCCTGAAGTGAAATTTGGAAATTTGGAAATATCATTGACGCATGTATTCAAAAGAATGAGAGGATATCAATGAATTAAATTTTTTGCTGTGCTGAAAGCTAATTTCATTTACAAGATTCCATTTTAATACAGTAATGACAGACTGTTTCTAAGAGAGTCCTTGAGAATTAAGCAGTAACTAAGAGCTAGCCTAAACCACAAAGTTACAGCTGCCTTCTATTTGTCCTTTTTGGCTGTGTCTGGTCAGCAGGTATTTCATCAGGTTTAGCACAAAACTGCCTGTCCATCAGTGAATAATTTACTCTTCTTAAAGGCTATTATTGCACCACCCCAACATTTTCATTCTGTTTTCTGTTGGAAACTCCACATCAATCCAAGCAAAATTTACTTAAGTTCTTTAAAATCAGGAACAATAACTTCAAGGAAAAATAAGTCTGAAAGAAACAAATTGGTCTGTCCTCATGCTTGATTTACTTTAAGAAATGTTGTCAGTACAATAATTTAAGTAGTTCATGCTGCCTGCTAATGTATTTTGGAATTTAATAGATGGGGAGTTTCACTCTTAAATGGTCCAAAGGAGTTATTATATTCAAATAGTAACACATGATTATTCAAAAATTAGCATAACATGAAGGAGTCCTTTAATGGCTCAAGTACACTTTTTTGAATCTTTAGTTATTTTTGGGACATTTACAAGCAGAAATAATTTAGTCCTGTTTGGAAGTGTAGTATTAATTCTGTTTTTCTTTTGCCTGCAGGACAGCACAACTATTTATGTGCTGGAAGAAATGACTGCATAGTCGATAAAATCCGTAGGAAGAACTGTCCAGCATGTCGCTTGAGGAAGTGCTGTCAAGCTGGTATGGTTCTGGGAGGTGAGCTACTTTTCAAATCAGATCTATAAAAATAGGCAGTCAAGTACACTATCTTCAATCTGTCGAGCTTAAAACCACATTACTTTGATACTGTAAAGGAAGAACCACATTCAAATGTGGTTTTTTTGAATAATTACCTAATGGTTTACAATTTCTTAGAATTTTTCTTATTGATTCTGGAAAACCTGAAGCCTTTCTACCTTGCCACCTTTCTGTAGCAATCTCTCTGTGCTACTGTGTACCCTTACACTCATTTTTCCTTAAGGGGCAGGAATTGTGTCTTTGGTTTGTATTTATTAATAATTCTGCATCAGAAAGTTTTATTTAGGTAAAAAAGAAGTAGATTGAAATTGACACTAAAATCAGGAATCAGTACTGATCAGTACTGTCCCCTTCTCTTTTCTGTTATGATCTCTAATTGTTTTGAGTAAATGTCAACAAAATTGAATCCTTCTGTTCCACCGAAGAATGCCAGGCATTGGTTGCCCCAACACTACAGACTTTGCATACTAGATGCTGGGAAATTCCGTCTTTGGAATAATTCTTGCTGTAATGTATTTGCCTTTTTTTCTTTTTATGTAACATTATTCAAAACAGTATTACTGCAGAACCTAAATCATTGTTTACCCAGCTTTGGAAGAGGAGAAAGCCAAGGGGTCCATGGTAGGCCATGGAAAACAGAGTAAGAATGAAGACTCAGGAAAAGAGAATTTGGCAGATATAGTGCCTGCCTTTTAAAATTTGGGAGAACTTGTAAGGTTTGATCAACCTGATCTCCAAAATATATCCCTGCTTGTCTCAGGGTGGGGTTCTACAGATGATCTTTAAAGATCCCTTCCAATTCAAACCATTCTATGATTCTAATGGGTGTAAATTAATACAGATTAAAAATTCATTCCTGGTTGTGAGTTTTGCACAACCAAGAGTTTAGTGACGGTCTGACCTGAATTTTCATTTGTGATAGCCTCGATAACACCAATAACTAAACCCCATGTGTTTTAGTATCAAAGGCAGCAGTTTCAACAAGCAGAAGAGTGTGTAATGACTCACTTCCATTGTCTAGTCCTTTTGCTTCTGCACTGCTCTGCATAATAATGCGACATAGGAGTAGTTGCCAGCAGGCTTGACTTCATTCTACATTTTCCATGCATTTATGGATGCTAGTTTTACTAGTATTTTAATATATACGTTTTCCTCTGGGTGTAGATACTTAAAATGGAAGAAGTTGGACACTTTTGCTAGCAAGATTGATGAGAATGTATGTCCTCATTGGATTATCCTCAAAACCTGAGGATTAAGATGCTCTGATTCTTAGTTCTTTATTATCATGTATGAAGAGAGTAAACCCTTCCTTTTTTTTTTTTCTCAGCTGTTACTAAGCAAGTGTGACTAATTTCTTTGTATTTAATGCTAGTTTGTTCTATCTAGCCAGTTTATTTGTTTAGCCTTTTTCTAAGTATACCTAGTCATAGCTGTCTTCCATGTTTTGAGGAGACCGTTGCAATCCTAATACAGTGCTTCATACTGAAAGGAGAAGGAAACACAAATGCAGATCAAAAATGAAGAAAACTAGAGTGATTTGTAAATAATGACTTAAAATTCAAACCAGCAAAAAATCTCAAGATTATGTTAACTGTAATGCTCTTTCCTACAATTACTGTTATTCCACCAAACATTACTCAGTGGCAACCATATAGATAGAGTGTAATATCATATGACATGGACAATAGTTCCATTTTTTGACCCTAATTTCAAAGCAATAAACCCTCGGATTGTTCTAAAATAAATTGTAGTCAGTTTTAAGTAAATTATAGAATAGCAACAAATAGCTTCAGTAACTGATTTTACTATATGGACTGTTTCTTCTTTCTTAATATATAGAAGGAAAGTGTCAATGTATGTATGTATTCCATAGTATCTTATTTGTCATTCTCTGTGAAAGTGTTGTCTTTGAGTTTTATGCCTCATAACTGGAGACATTAATCTATCCCCTTTCTATCTTCTACCTGAGAGGATAGCAATTAGCTTGGTCGGGTCCTCGAATAAACCCATACTCAACTCATTTATTTACTATGAGTGAATCGGTAGTTTTCCCAGGCTGATTATCACAGATTCCTTGTTCAGCTGTACTGTATTGCCAAATTGCTGTGTTCTTCATTGTTTCACTCAGCTTTCAGTCTGCAGTGCAGTGATTACATGCAGAAAAATTTGAATTAATTTTCCAGGTGGTATTTTCTGAGGTAGGATCAAAGGGTTTATTAAAATCCACATGCATTATTTCTGCTTTGTTGGTTTCCTTATTTTGTAGCCACCCCCCCTAAGGTGTACACAACTTGTTCTTCTACACAAAATGCGAGAGCATAGTGACCTGACAGTAAGGACCATGGTGTTCTGTCAAGAATAAAAATCATTGATGCTTTTCACCTGATTACAGGATAAGGAGAAGGATAGTGAGATAGACTTTTACTAGAAATACAGGTCTTTTAATATAAAATATCTACCATCAATAATGTCTGATTTTCAATATGATTATGTATATGATTCTATGTATATGTAGTTAAAAGGATATTAGAATACAGAATTATGTAGTAAGGGGAAAATCATAATATATTTGATGATGAAATTAAGTAGATTTTATTTGTTATGCTTTCTAGGTACATGTAGCACACAAACACTACACACATGCTACTTATAGTAATCAAGGGTAAGGGAACAGTGAGTACTGAGAAACTAATTGAGTGGTTGGCTGTCTTAAAACAAAATAATGACAATATTACAAAGAGAATTTGTACTGTCTAAATATGCACAGACTGGTTATAGTATTAAGATGAATAGTTGCCAGAGGAGATTAATGTTCTTTACAATTTATAGAAATAAGTGGAGATATTTATTTATCTTATAGCAGGAACTTACCTGGATATTTCTGAAACAGCAAAATAAAAACTAAGCTATTGCCAAATCTCTGTTGTCTTCTTTATGTCCTTAAGAATTTTTATTAATTTAACATGGTCTCCTTGTGGTAGATGGGAAAAGTTTACTGTGAGTTATTAATAGTCACCTCTCCAGTAGATCGGTAACAAGTGGAGTTGCTTTACTGGTGGCTGTTAAGCAACATAATTAGAAATAAACACATAAGCAATTCTACAAACCTGTGTGACATTAATTCTCATACATTTAGTCACTTGGAAACATGGGTACTTATTAACTACTAACATTTCCATGCGATAAGCATTCTGTTTGGTTTCTTTCTTTACTTGTTCTCTGAACTGTAAAAGTATCTGAAGCTATTATTGCAGAAAATACCTGAAATCATTATTTATAAACTACCAAATGCATTGTTCACTCTGTTTTCCTTCATGCCTAAACAATACTTAGTGGGAAATTCCCAGCATGTTTAGGACTATGCATAGGTTTGTTATGACAGAAGTTGGCTCTAGGTCTTTTGTCAATAAATTTATTTTTTTTTTGGTTCAACTGTAACAGAAGGTGTAACTTTTTGTTTGGTTCTTTACTAAGGAGTCTCTAGTCAGAAATTTTTTTATTCTAACCACAGGTCATGAAATGAGCATAAGATTGCTGGGGTACTTGATACTAAACTAATTAAACCCACAATTAAGTCAGTGTGAATATGACCCCTGATTTCATTGCGTGATGAGTGTCACTGAAGGTCTCATCGCTCGTATTTAAACTACAAGTAAAGCGTGTTTCTAGAAATTTGGTTTACCATTTGTCTTCTTGATTTTAAAGGTTGTTTTAATTTAAATTGAAGTTTTGCTCTTTTGTGTATAACTTCTTTGTATGTGAAATGCATAAACATGCATATTTATAATAGGATAAAAGAAAATTAATTTTTATTAAAAGTAGGTGTTGACTTTTTAGCTTGTGTTCATCTTATCAATATTGTCTGGTTCAAAAACAAGAGGATTGGTTCTGCCTTCAGTTATGCCTGTGTACATCAAAAATACTTAAGTAATAGTGTTTTTCATTTAAAATATTTAGAAATTACATTGGAAATCTCTCCGTGTTTGAATTTTAAATCTCACTTGAAGTTATACTAACTGTGTACTAATGAATGTTTTGAATAGGTCAGTTTAATTCTCTGATGTGTACACCCTAGGTCTTCCTAAGTGGAGATGTGGGATTTTCATAAAATTTGATATCTTCTGTGATATGGAAGCACATGATGAAAATGGAATAGACATGTTCTTACGTATAGCCATTTTTGGTCATCCTTTCTGATTTAGCTTGTAGTTTGGAAGACTGGAACTTTCCAAGGAGAAAAGTAATAGATGAGTCTGACTATACTAGTATCCCTTAATTTCTCTCATAAACAGTTGAGAATGAATTAAGATGTGCCAAAGTTTAGGCCCTACTCCTGTGTCCTAAGGCCTCTTCGGTGCTCCGGTTGCATTCGGACAGTGCAGCACTACTTTCAACGAAAATAAAGAAAAGGCAGTAAGAGATTGAGAAGTCTTTATTTCCTTTCCTTCAGGATCCGTTAAATATCCATGTCTAATTGTGTACTTGTAAATAAAAGTACAATTTTTCAAAGAAAAATGTGATATAAGAAACTTTAACTGAGCCAAATAGTTGCATATGATTATGTTTCTATTACCTTTCACCGTCTGTATTGTTAGAGTAGTTTTTACATGTTGCCATTTTGTAATGTGGTTTCTCAGTGGTTCAGCAGTTTGATAGGCATGGATTTTCCTTTCATCCAGTAAAATTTGATGCATCTCTTTTTCTACTCTTCTTAAAAGTATGCAACACCTCAACAGGTAAAACTATCCACATGATTTCTGTGGGTTTTTTTGAGCAAAACCTTCTCCTTTATTTTCTTTAAGGTTGAAACGTGGGGTTTTTGTATTTTTGTTAGCAGAATTATTTAGCTTTTTGTTTTGTTTTTTTTTTGCCATCACCCCATTCTCTCTTACTGCCCCACTGTCATATAAATCGAACCATAACTATTAGTATCTTAATTGCATTTTTTATCCCTTTTTTCTCTAAGTCAAACTTGTTTGGCAGAACTAATGATCTAGCAGGATTTTTATCACCTTTGAGGATCTCTTTAAAGGGAGTGTGTTACATGTAGTCATCTGTACATAGATTTACCTTTGTATTGAAACTTGTAATATGGTAATATGTTACTGAGGGTTACTGTCTTTGAACCTCTGAAGGATGTTTTGATTTTTTGTGTCTATACTGTGCACTGCTACATGGACTATTTCCATGAAAGAAACTTGAAGAGTTGCAACCTAGAGCTCTATATATTTCCATAGCCATACCACATGTATCTTTGCTTATTTTGGGAAGGTAGTTCAACTGTGTATTTTTCTTTCTATTTAGTTGTTCATACCACTGCAATATGGAAATAAGAATTGCAAATACTGAGAAAGGGAAATTAATCTTCAGAAAGTAAAGTGTTTTATAAGTGGTTTTACAGGATTTGTTGACCTTTCCCTCATCCCCTGACCATCAAAACAGGATTAATCCATGAGGCTGAAATGCTTTTAGGGCACTGGAGGAAAGGAATGTCTGTGTGCAGTAATTAATTACTAGCATTTTTGTTTCTGAATATTTGGGAGTAAAAGAAACAGTATCCTCAATTGACATTAAATAGAAACTGAATTGTGGAGCCAGCTGGCTCAGCTGTTGGCATATGACAGAGCAGTGGGAACTGAGCCAGAGAACGTTTTATGAGGTTACTGTAACCCAGAATTCGTGTCAGTAATTTTAATGGGTGGGTGCCATTCATCTCTTAGTGAAGGGAGGAGGATATGAGGGGAGCTCTTAGGAATTTTCCATTATTTTTTCTCAATTATATAAATAGTCAAAAAATAGAAAACTTATTCACAAGACAATTCTGGTTTCCTTGTATAGATTAAAAGCGTAATCCAACACTAGTGGAAAATACTAATGTTACTGATTAATTCTTTCTAACAGATCAACAATTTTATTTTTCAGGTCGAAAATTGAAAAAGTTTAACAAAATTAAGGTTGTGAGAGCATTAGATGTTGCACTCCAGCAGCCAGCAACCCTTCAAGACGAAAACCAGTCTTTAACCCAAAGGCTGTCCTTCTCTCCAAATCAAGAAATACAGTTTGTTCCCCCAATGATAAGTGTTTTACGAGGCATTGAGCCAGAAGTTGTCTATGCTGGTTATGACAATACAAAACCTGAAACACCAAGTTCGTTGCTGACCAGTCTAAATCACCTTTGTGAGAGGCAACTCCTTTGTGTAGTCAAGTGGTCTAAATTGCTACCAGGTAATGTCATATATGCAGCGAATCATAAGTTAAGCAAATATATAATGGAATGAGCAGAAAAGAGAATATTATTGTCTGCATGTTAATTAATTCTTAACAATTTCCGAAATTATTAAGCTCCCACTTCATCAGATAATATAACTAAGTAAATAAATTTGATAGGGGGACACATTTGAAGGATTCAGTCTAAATATTTAGACTTACTCCAAGAAACCACAGAAGCCCAGAGAGTTCTTGTAAGTGATTGTTATAGCAGCCTTTCCACCCGCATCCCTCCTACTCTATTATTTATTAATTTCATATAAAACGAGTTGTATTTCTGCATAGTATTTATTATTATTATTATTACTAAAATGAATTTTTGGCAGCAACAAAATAAAATTGTAATAAATAGTACCAACTGGGATTGACTAAGAAGCTCACAAATAGACTTGTGATTAGAACTAACTGAATTTATGAAGATCCAAGATTGGATTAAAAAAACCCCACGTTATGTATGTGCATATGTGTATATGTACATACACTGCTGTATGGTCATAGGGGCTTGATCCTGGAATATATATAAGGCAATATTTGAGCAGAAACCCTAGAAAATACAGTTTCATGTGAGCTTAACTGTTGCAGGAAAGGGTAGTCACTGCTCTTCCTGTTGCAGTTGGCACTTATCAGACCTCTTGGATGAACCAATTCATCTCATCGAGTGAGAAGAAAAGAAACCTTTTTTTCTACCCTCTGTCATTTTCTGATATCTTCATGAGCTGAACCAGTTCCCTGAGGGGTAACATGAATGCCAGAGCTTGCCTGATGGAGGTAACAGGACCAGGTGACAAGGAACAAGAGCACTGCTTTCAGTGGCAGGAAGCTCTTAGTTTGACTTAGATAGTTCGTGGCAATCTTTAAAGTTACCAAACAGCAAAAGTTATCAAAGGCAAGCCACAACTGAATATACTTCTCTTCAGCTGACTGTAATACGAATGTTTATTTTATGACAACTGTATCTCGTGTTAAGAAACCTAAAGTTGAAGCTGTCTATATGAAATAAGAGTTGGTTACAGTGATCATGTTACAAACTCATATTTTTACCAAAGGAAAATGAGATGCATTCCTATTCCCTGAAACAGCCATTTTTGCTAAAGTTAATTTTACTGAATTGGAACAAAGACAAGAGGTGAGATAGCCAGCTACTACATCAAAGTGAGATTACCCAAACATCTGAGAGATACGTCACCAAAAACACTTGTCTTTCTAGATGTTCTGAATTGGATAGCTCAAATTTGTAACCTCAAAACGTAGCTGCTGTCTAAGTGAGAATTACAAAATATTTTAACTTTTAATTTCATTTCCAGGATTTCGGAATTTACATATCGATGATCAGATAACCCTCATCCAGTATTCCTGGATGAGTCTAATGGTTTTTGCAATGGGATGGAGATCATACAAACACGTCAGTGGTCAGATGTTATATTTTGCACCAGATCTGATTCTAAATGAGTAAGTAGACTCTGCTGTTGCATTATGTGAATAACATTTTGAACTTAGGTGTGCCAGTGGGAATGTGACTTCTTTGAGACCAAGATTTCATTCATTATTTGCTTGGTTTCAAAATTAACAGCAGAGGAAAGCCCTCTGATCATATTAAAAGCTCAGTAACTTTGGAAAGGGTTTTGTGGGAACACCATCTATTCTGTTTGCATGTTCCAAAAAAAAAAAAAAGGCTGTTTAAATAGTATTCTAATTATCTAAGAGAAAAATAATAATAATTAAAAAAAAAAAGAGTGCTGTAAGAAAATTTACTGAATTCATCCAAATAAGACATGAGTTAATTTTTAATAAATGGAACTGACTCTGATTTTCTTTGTTTTTGTTTGGGTGGCTTTTGCAAATAATTTGCATATAGTCTAAATACTCAGATTTTACACTTTCTGATAAAACTCTGATTTTTTAAAGTACATTTCTTGTTAGAAAATTGAAAAAAGTTACAAAGAAGGATTTCAATATCAAGGAGAAAATATGTGAGACTGCTCTTTTCTACTGGGGGGGTGAGGGGATTGTTGGCTTAGATTTTCCTTCACTATGCCATTTAATTTAGATAATCTTCATTTCAGTCTGTTAATTTTTCAGATCTGCAAATTAATATTGTTAAACTTGTAATATTAGATACTTTGGTTATAGTACATGGGAATCTGCCAGGAACAGTAAAACATAATTTAATCTCTATATTTATTTCTCCTTAATATATTTTTCTTAGGGTTTTTTTTGTTTATTTGTTTTTTAAATCTTAAAGAACTGCTATGAAGCAAGATGAAAGAGGGTTTTTTGTAAGACATATTGTTTAAGAATTAAGAGGTAGATTTGCAGAAGATCTAGACACCTAATTTCAGTGGAGCAGACCCTGTAGCTCTTGGCCTTTTGTCTTCCAGATGACTGTAAATCACTGTGAAGTTATTGAGTAATGAATTCTTTCCTCTCCCATTTGTATTAATTATGGTGTACAAATTTAAATACTTAGAAATTATGAGCTTGAAAGAAGTTCTGACTGTATGCTGTCCCAGCATAATCTGACATATTTTACGGTAACATTCAGAAGAAAGAGTGAGATGGCTTCAGGCAATAATTTCACATATTGGGGTATTACCTTGCATATGGATCACTGCTGACACCTTGTGAAGAAGACTTCAAGTACTTTCTTCCAGAATTAGGTTGAGATTTATGAACCCCAGTTATAATCCACCAGAGACAGTTTCTTAATTGCAGTTTAAGACCATCTACACTGCGAAGGAGGTGGACTGGCACCTCTTGGTTACAGAAATCTCATCAGGGTCGTATTAGAAACATTATTAACAAAGAGACACGTAACATAAGTGGCACACTAAATTGTACCTGCAGCTGTTTATTGGGAAAGAAGTTAGCTTTTAGATCAGCAAAATGTAAGAAACTTCTTTGTCTAGGATGATGTCTAAGACTGTACTTTCATAATCACTTTAAGAAAAGGTAACTGCTGAGCACTGCCAAAAATGTTAACTGCCCTGGTCATACATCCCCATGATTTCATTTAAGCTGTGTCAAACATTATATGGCTGCACTGTCAAACAGATAAGGAATTTATATGCCTGAGAAGTACACCAGAAAAAGCCATTCTTTAGCAGGTGGAGGTGATTCCTGACTTGAATCACCACATGGGAGTGCAGGCACTAATGCCAGAATTGCAGAAGTGCAAACCTAGAGGTAGAAACAATAATAGAAATTCCTTCTACAGGGGCAATGCACACTTTAGTTGTTTCAAAATGACCATGAAACCACAATCCAAAGATTGTTTCACAGCCAATCTGTCATTTAGCAAACGCAGTTGTTGTGCTTCTCAAGAAGGACTCGTTTGGTGGTATCAATTTCACACCAAGAAAGCTAGCAGTGTTAGTTTGACAAAAATTTCTTAGTATTAGCATCATATGAGGATTTACTGTTACTTTCACTTTTCAGTGTCTGAAAATGTAAGAACAGCATTTAAGCATACCCTGAAAGCTTTGATCACTTACCCTGATCACTCTTTATAGAGTATAATTAGGAAGAGATGCTACCAGAAAGTAATAGGAAGGGAGATTTAAAGTAGATATAGAAATAATGAGTCCACTCAGATATAAAAGATTAAATTTCTATGTTTACATCATTTAAGAACTGGTACAAGATATCAGATGTTGAACTACATTGAAATAATTTTCCTTCAAGATAATGGTAACACTTTGAATAACAAGACAAAAACTCATTGCATTGAGAAGTCTTTCATTAATGAAAAATATCATCTGTTTTCATTGTTGAGGGTACTGGATCATCAGGTTAATGTGCAATGAATACAGTCTAGATTAGAAAATTTGTAATGCTATTGTTGCAGTCATTTCAGTTGAAATTCCTGATAAATAAATGTGATAATATATACTCAGTATACCAAAATCATAGAGAGAAAAGCAGTATTGAAATGCTGCAAAAGACACTTACCAATTTTATGTATTTCCTGTGTGATTTCTTCTATTTACTCATCTGGGAATTCAGATAAGGCTGTATTAAAGTCTCTGTTTGCTTAATATGTAACATTTTGAACTGTTTCTTTAATGGCATAAAATACTACAAAATAATCTATGTGCTATTAGAAGTATGTTAGAGTTGCTGTGAAGTATTTCGGTGGAGACATTTTTGCAAGAGCTAAGAACAAGTTTTCTATAAACTGTCAGGTTTATCTTTAGTTCTATGCTTTGAAATCTTTTCAAAGTTGCAAAAATCTGTCTACCTCTAAAATAAAATAGTACTTTAATAATTTTTAATATTATTTTTATTTATTAAGAGTATTTTTAATTAATAGGACACCCTTGTTTTTGGTGGTTAGTGTTCAGCTTTGATAGTCTCCAAGTTGTTTTTTTCTGGACAGCAGTAACAGAATAAACACACAAAATAATATTACTTTCATTGTGTACAAACATTGAGAAAATTGTTTATTTGTATAACCTCTTCTTTAGTGTCTGTAATGTGACAATTAAACAAGGCATTCCCTTCAAACAGTATTGGAGCCATTCTTTTTCTTTATTTTCATGTTTTTTAATTTATTTTTTTGTTTACCTTTTCTGGGTGTAAGACAGAGGATGAAAGAATCATCGTTCTATTCCCTGTGTCTATCCATGTGGCAACTCCCACAGGAATTTGTCAGACTTCAAGTTAGCCAAGAAGAGTTCCTTTGTATGAAGGCTTTGTTACTTCTCAACACAAGTACGTTCTTTTATTTCTTTGTAATTCTTTGTAACATATCACTACTAAGAGTTTTGAACCATGTTGCTTAATTTCACAATCTCTAAGCCGTCAGGCTTAACAAATGGAAACTGATTTAGGAGGAATGTTAGTATTTCAAGACTTAAAAATGTTTTTTCTGGTGTATATAAAGAACAAAGAATTTGTGAGTCATTGTTGGTCTTATTCTGTGTAAAGACTGGAGAAATATTGAATCCCTTTTGACATACAGCTATACTGTATTAACACATTTTCAAAACAAGTGTGTAGTAGTTCTGCCTGAAAACATCTGTTAAAGTGACTCTACAGAGATAAAAAACAAAACCAAATCCAAAACAAAACAACCTTACTAGTATTAGAAATATACTTAAAAACATTTAATAAATTATAAGGGCTGAGGGCTTTAGCTTGGCCAAGATCTTAAAGCATGTTTGCTCAAAAGAACCGGGGAAGTGGACATGGCAAACAATACTAACATTTATCCAACTTTTTATAGTTATAAATAGGTGAAGTTTAGCACAGATGTAAACAAATGGAAATGTTTTTCTTTGCTTCATTTCTCTGGAACAAAATCCGTGGTCACTTTTAATCATACGCATCTTTTAAAGAATGCAGCACAAAGTTGCAATTCACTTTACATAGGAAATGAGGTAGTTGGTGAAGTTATCTTCCAAAACCTTTTCTGATGTTCTAAAATGTGCATCTGCTGAGACCATAGTTGTTAGCTGTGAATCCTCAGATAAAAAGTTTTAAATTTGTGCACATGTTATTAGAAATGAAAATAAGAAATATTGAGAAATATAATTGAAAGAATGTAGAAGTTTAGTTCTCAACACACTTATGGAGTCAGGACAGATGTGAAAATCCTGCTTAGCCTACTTGTTGGTTGTACAAAGTTGAAGTACAAGATAAGAAATTAAAATTCATTCTGTCTTAAGCTGTACTTGGCTGGTATTTGCATAAGCTTTATGCTTAAAAAAATTTGGTCTCAGAAAAGCATGAGATTAAAAAAATTAAGTTTAATCTCATATAAGCATAGACATTACTAAAATAATAGCAAGATACCACAGACTGATAAAGCAATAAAGGTAACGTGGATAAAAATCCTTCTGTGATATAGGTCCAGTTGCTTTGTTGGAATCTGAATGTATTCCTGTTTTAAACGTTTTCCTCCTTGTTTTCATGAGAAATGAACTCCCTCATCAATCATCTGAACCTTAGAGGGAACTTTAAAATTTCAGTTAAATTTAGATAAATTTCTGATATTCCGGCTTTCCCTTTCTGTTCTAGAAAGTTCAGATGAAATTCAAAAAAGCATTGCAGTGATTGGTCCAATCTCTCTCATTTCTGACTGCATCGGTTTAACAGAATTCATCAAGCTACCGTTCTTTACCAACTGCATTGCACTCAGAAGCTAATTTTTAAGATGCTATGTTTATGTATATGCAAGAAATTTTTTTATTTTAAAAAAAGAAAGTACTTCTTCATGTGCTGATGCGTTTTGCTTTTTGTTCTCTCCTGCACTTATTGTCTTATAGGAAAAAACAATTTGTCAGATCTTTGGGAAAAGGAACACAACTGTTGTTGCTGAGACATTTAGTAAACATTTGGTACTGTATAAATATAATTCCACAAAAGTATTTTTAAAAAGCCATATAACCTCATTATTGCTCTACAATGTTTTTTAAGCCTACTTTTACATTTTAGTCATGATATTCATCTTAATTCTCTTCAAATGTGAAAGTATGGCCATTTCAAGCTTTCTTATATGAACAGTAAATCGAGTCTAATCTTTTAGTCTCTCAATGTGTCTTCTGTTCAATTTATTACTCAGAAACAGTCAATAAGTAAATATAAGTCTTGATCTATTTCTAATTCTGAATGGAGCCCCACAACCAACCTAAGTTTTAACATAATTTTTGATTATACATTTTTTTTCTTGGAGTTTGCTGTGACTTAAACATTTTCTTTATAATATACTTGTGACAATTTTAAAGCTGTCTTGAAAGCAGAATTAGTCTTTGCAAAAAGTGGACAAACATTTTCATTTTGTGCAATTGTTTCCATTGTTGTGCTAGTATCCCTTAACTTCTACATAGGACTCCATCTTGCAGAGGCCACATCCTTCTCAGAACTAATACTGTGAACAGTTCAGAAAGACCATGATTTAAGAAACCAGAACTATGCCAAAAGAGAGAGATAAATAAGTTCAGTTGTAGCAACAGCAAGATCAGTTCTGCTTCTAACACTTTTCAGACTTTTGATTTAAAGGAATTTCAGAATCTTGTTGCGTAAGATTTTGGCTCGGTTCTTGCCACTGAATAAAAGCATCCTCGTTCTTTGCATACATTCAGCGGGAGGGAACATTTGAGCTACCTGTGTTTAAGTTGTATTTGTCCATGTAAGACATTGTAATTCTTCACTCAGATAAATAGCTTAATGAAACTTTTTGTGACTAAGTGGAAATGTGACTGTATTTTTGCAGAATTTGAAGGAAACAGGCCATCCGTTGCTGGAAGATACCTTTTAACTTAATTCACAAGGGAAATATAAAGATTTAATTGCTATTTTAGAGATGTAAGTCAAGGATGTCATCCACCTTAAACTCCATCAGAGTGTCACAATATATGAAAAAGATTTCCTAGACGTCTGTAAAACTGTTAATAAGACATACCCAGAACCATCCAGGCTTTGAAAATTAAGCTATTCTTTCTGTGACATTACTTTTCCCCACTGGGAGTATTCCTGCCTGAATTTCTCCTAAGCACACTGCATTCTCCTCAAACCAGAAGGTGGCCCTTCCATTCAGACCCTTGATGTAGATGTGACAGGCACACTTTCAGATACCTTCTTTATCTGTCTGGACTTGAGAGGTCATACCAAGTCAAACCAAAAGTCCACCTCATTTCATCTCCATCTGCTTCCAGGTAGTGGAAGTAAATGGAAGTACCGGGTTAGGTATGGTGTTATAAAACAGACTTTCTGAGGAAAAAGTCACAATTTCTACTTTCTATTTTTACTTTTGTTTGAATTATGTCTTAGTTAAGAGCCAGACCCTCTATTCCATAGGCCAACTCAGTGCTTAGACACTTGTCTTTGTAGTAAACTTGCTATTTTCTGTCTGTGTCTCTCTCCTTCCCCTCAGACATTCAGTTGTCTGAGGAGGCACTGAGTGAGAGACTACCTTGGTAAATGGGATCATTTCCTCTCTTGGGCCTGCTTAACTCAGGTAGAATAGAGATGTGAACTTCTGTCTTGTCATCCTTTCTGGGCTCAGGCAAGAGAATTTTAATTTTAATATGCTTGTCTCCTTTCCCCTTACATTTTTCTGAGGAACCAGCCATGACTTAGGCATCTGATTTCAGAACAGCATTTCTGATTTCAGAATGGAGAGCAGTGTTGCTGTCAATGCAGGGTTTACTACCTAATACTCTTTCAGGAAATGAGTTTAGATTGACCCCTGTGCAGCTGTTTCCTTTTTAGGTGGCTTCTGTCTTAAAAACTCCATTATGAGGTATCTAACAATGTAGTGCTTTGTATAGTCAGTACACACATTTATATTTTAATTCCAGACAGTGACAAATCATCTGGAAGTTAAGTTTCACTATATTAAATAAGTCAATGTCCTTATGAACCAAGCTGGCTTTTTTGTTTGTTTGTTTGTTTGTTTGTTTGTTTGTTTTTGAGATTCAAATGAAATCTGTTGTGACCTCATATCAGTCATGGTCTAATACGAGAATGAAGATGTACTATGTACCTAGATAACTAGCAGGGAATTTATTTAACAATGAGAACTAGTCTCCATGACATTCTGGAGTCTGTGGAGAAAAATAAGCGTAAATAATTTTTTTCTAAGGATAATTTCAAACCAGTGAGCATTTCCTGTTGAATGAATAATCCTTGCCTGATTATTCCCACTAAAACTGCAGGCAGTTATGGTAACTAATAGATGAAGATACCTATACTGTGAAATGCCTAAAGTTTGGTGAGGTGAATCCTTTTCCTTATGGTTGTCAGAATACAAAATGTTGAATGAGGTGTTGCAGTGTGAATTGTCATTGGCAAGAGAGAAAGGAAAGGAGAAGAAATTCAACATATCTTTTGAAAACAGTCTGTTTGAAACAAGACCATGTTTTAAAATGAAATTATTATAGCAAAGCAAGGATTTAGATTTGATTGTGAAATGGGAATAATTTTTTTTAGTTTCATTTCTATGAGTTTTTAATTTCTTAGTTTCCTTTAACAACACAAATGGTAAGACTTGTGGATTAAACTCTACCATGTCGAGAATCTTATCATCACTGATCAAATATGCTCTTATCAGTAGCAGTTCATTTCTCAGTATTGTCTCCATGTCCTCATTTTGATCCTTGCACCTGACCATTAAGAGAAGAGGGACTTCAACCATTTCCTCCTCCTTGCTAATTTTTCTAAAAAGCTGTTTGCATGTTAGACTCTGATAGTACATCTGTTCTGTTAGGTGTAAGAGGTTCAAATAGGAGGCCTAAGCCCTGGATGCTTTACTGTCTACACCACTTGAGCGTTGTTAGTTTGTTGCTTGACTCCATTTTGAAGCACTCCAGATCGATTTCTCTACCATAACTTTGCTCTGAAGAGGGCTAACCCTCAGCAGTGTAAACGTGAATCAGTCCATAACATATTTCCTCAAAAATGACAGTGGTTCTTTCAGCCATTTTTTTTTTTTTCAGCAAACATGTGTAGGTGAAGCTTAGGGGTATTTCTAGATGTATTAGCAAAATTAACTGATTGTTGATGGTATATCCTTTTAACTAATTGTATCGCTGTTTCTGGAGTAACTTTTGAATGGGAAAAAGTAGCTGGCATGTAGTAATGAAATGCACTGTACTGCATGAAATACTATAATTTTTTCCTGTACTTTAAATTTCTTCCATTGCCTTCAGAGTGAATTGTACCACAACTCTTATTTTTGTTTAGTTCCTCTGGAAGGTCTAAGAAGTCAGAGCCAATTTGATGAGATGAGAACAAGTTACATTAGAGAACTGGTGAAGGCAATTGGTTTGCGCCAGAAAGGTGTTGTGGCCAACTCACAGCGTTTCTATCAACTTACAAAACTGATGGATTCCATGCATGATGTAAGTTTATTTGTTAATGTGTTTTGCTTTTTATGTAAGAAAGAACTAGTATTTCTTAAAAATAATTTTATGGAAGGAATTAGTTAACATTTATAAACAACAAAAGAAAACAACAAAACATTTTTCCTTTATCGTGTATATTTGTGTGAATAGATATATTCAGCATCAGTATATATATTATGTTTATAATTTATGGTATACAAGATTTAAGTATTTGTGGAAAATGCATTTGAATGCTACCATTTTGTTTCATACTGCCTGTCACACAGTTTTGGGCTTTAGTAGGGGGTGATGTGTGAGTATGTGTATACGTGTTCAGGAAAATAATAATGCAAAGGATAGGCAATTCAAGTTGCAAAGTCAGACTACTAAGAATTAGAGAAAGACAACCAAGATTGTCTTTGAAACCTTAATTCTACTATTTTTATGTGCATATTATATCCCATTTTTCAGGATCTGTCTATATCTGGGAACTGAGAAATCTTTAAGAATTCTAATAGTGATATCATAGAGATTCATAGGTGTCTTAAAAAGATGCAGATGAATTCTTTCCACATCTCTGAGAATCCAACATATATCCTATTGTTTTTAAATTCATTAAAATTTAGGAGTGGCATTTCATATAAAGCTTTGTCCATATAAATATTCATAGAATGATAGAATGGTTTGAAGGGGGTCCTTGAAGGTCATCTAGTTCCAACCTTCGCTGTATGAGAGGGCAAGTGGACCAGATACTCAGAGCCGCATCCAACCTGGCCTTGAACATTTCCAGGGATGGGGCATCCACAGCTTCTCTGGGCAACCTGTTCCAGAGCCTCACCACCATTCCAATAAAGAATTTCCTCCTAGTATCTAATCTAAACCTGACCTGTTTTAGATTGAAGCCATTCCCCCTCATCCTATCATACATACCTTTGCAAAAAGTTCCCCTCCAGATTTCTTGTAGCCTCTTCAGGTACTGAAAGGCCACAATAAGGTCTCCCCGGAGCCTTCTCTTCTCCAGGCTGAACAACCTCAACTCTCTCAGCCCTTCTTCATGGGAGAGGTGCTCCAGCCCTCTGATCACCTTTGTGGTCATCCTCTATACTTGTTTCCACAGGTCCTCATCGTTCTTGTCTTGGGGGCTCTAGACCTGGACCCCACCCCAAAGGTGGGGTCTCAGGAGAGCAGACTAGGGGGGGCAGAATCACTTCCTTTGACCTGCTACCCACGCTTCTTTTGATGTAGCCCAGGACATGGTTGGCTTTCTGGGCTGCAGTGGCACATCTGTGAGTCATACTGAGCTTCTAATCAGCCAGCACCCCCAAGTTCTTCTCCCCAGGGCTGCTCTCAGTTCTTTTGCCACCCAGCCTGTATTTGTGCTTGGAATTGCCACGACCCAGGTGCAGGACCTCATGCTTAACCTTGTTGAACTTCATGAGGTTCACACAGACACACCACAGCTTAGTGTCATTGGAAAACTTGCTGGGGATGCACTGAATTCCACTGTCCATGTTAAACAGCACTGGTCCTGATACCAACCCCTAGGCACTTCTGAGTTCATAGTGTTGGTTATGAGGAGCTCTCAGGAAGGTCAGTGTGGATGGGATCTTTGCGTCTTTGTATTCTTCAGCACTCAGTAAATTTACACTTTGTTTTAATTCAGTCTCTTATTTTCAAGTACATAAAGTAAAAGAGCCAGGGAAGGAGGGAGAGAGGGAGGGAGGCTTGCTGCAAAATAGCAAAGTGATGTGTGGTCCATAGAGTAACTTTGTTCAATCCCTGTTTCAGCTCAGGCTGATAAAGTAATGGGAGATAGAAGGGAAAGATAGATCATCACACTGAGGAGACTGCATGATGTTAAAGCTTAGGGTAGCAGAAATAGTATGATATTTGACAATGTAAAGGTCACTGGTCTGAAATTAAAAATGGAGCCTCTCAGAGAGGACAGAAGAGATGAAATAGTCACTTGTATTGAGCAGTTGCTTTTAAGAGACAAGGGCCTATGAAGTTTAATGTTTGTGGCATACTCAAATATGATCATAATCAGAACCATGGAAAAGCTCACAGGGAAGTAGTAAATGCTGTCTCAGAGCAGTGTTTGAATAGCATGTAGTGAACAAAGCACTGGGTGGTCTTGAGTGTGATGGAAGATTGAATACTTGTTAAGTAATTGCCATTGATCATCGCAAATTTCGTGAGTGAGGATGATGCTACTTTGTAATATTAGTGAGGCAGCGTTTTTATATGACATGACATTTAGCTATATTTATGATTTTTGCCATTAATAGGGAATGAGAAGTACCCTCATTATTGATTCAAGAAATACAGAGGAAGGTTGTTATAACGATGTCAGCTAATGAATGAATAAGTAGTTGACAGCATGTTTATCTGGCTGCATTACTCCTAGCCTGATTGATCGTGTTTGTATTTTATTAAATCCAGCTAGTGAAACAGCTCCATCTCTTCTGTTTGAACACATTTCTCCAGTCCCGTGCACTGAGTGTTGAATTCCCCGAGATGATGTCAGAGGTGATTGCTGCCCAGCTACCCAAGATTCTAGCAGGGATGGTGAAACCTCTTCTTTTTCACAAGAAGTGAAATGTCTTCTCTCATAGAGGTGATATCTGGGTCATTTTTTGTTTGTTTATTTTGGTCAAGATTTTGCAACGTCAGGACTTCAGTATATTTGTCATACTTATCTTGCCTACTGCTTTACACTTGTAACATACACAAGCCATTTAAGCTTGTTGTACATATTGTGACTTTCTGATTCCTTAACTGCAAAAATCACAACAGTCATAAGAAATGTTTGGTAAACTTGGCTAGGCTGCTTTTTAGATACGCAGTGGATGACAGTGAATAGACTTTCCAGATTTCTAACAACAGTTACACGTTTTTCTTACTTGTTGCACGCTCTTGAATTTCTGATATGACATGATGCAGACTTTTTACTTCAGTACATTGTGTGCATGGGTACCTGTGGGTATGTGCATAACACAAAATTTTTGAGGAATTAAAGTAAATATTGCCCACATTTTCTCATGGATATTTAACTTTTTATTAACTAATTAGCCTCACAGAAACAGCCTTTCAAAGTTAGCCATCCGGGATTAAGCACACATCACAGCAGTACCTTTATGAGTAACTAAAGCTCTAGGCACACACTGTAACACTACATATTGATGTCTGTGCTCATGCTGCATTGAAACTCTGAGTCCAGTATATTGTTTTCTCTACAGAGTTCCGTGCAGCTCTCCTTCAAAAATCAGAAAGCTTAGGAGAATTTCAGTGTATATTACACCAGAAGTAATGTGTATGCAAACCCACTAAGCTTTGGTTTGTGTTATTTTCCTTATAAGTTCAGTGCTTATTTAAGCTAAATCACTTAGCTGTAATCATAAATTCATCAGCTGTAACATTCTGTATTTCAGAAGCTTTAAATCGAGATGTTTTCACTGACTACAGCTCTTAATAATCTTAATGTTTTGAACTTCAGTGCTGAATACTTAAACAGCCATTAACATCAAATTAGAATGAGACTAAATGCAAAAAGAAATGGAAAAGATGACTGCAAACATTTTGATACACATCAGAGTCATTTCAGTACTATTTAGTGGAGCTACATATTTTATATTTTAAATGTATGCCATTATAATTCGGGTAACTGTAAAAGAGGAGTTGAACTAAATTAGCTTTATAAATTCAAGAAGAATGACATGTTTTACCACAGAAATTAATATTTTACTGAAAAATTACAATGTGGTTTTGTTTGTTCCCTTGATATGGATATGAAGCAACTCATGCATTTAAGGCATGTAAATTGTAAATTGTAGCTCTGTTTGAACAACAGAGAAACATGTAAAGCCTAAGAAGAATTTATGAATCTATTAAAGTACAAAAAATTTTGCCAATCACTAGAAATTATACTTACATGTAGGAAATGGTGAGTCTTGCTTGGATACTTGCTGGTTGTATGCTTTTGCTTTTACCCATTACAGTAGTGTGAGAGTGTACTGTTGGTGGTGTGTAGCTTGGTCTGTACAGACATGCCTTTGTCACATGAACAAAGGCCCATGGGACATAAATTCAGTATCCCTGGTTAAACCAGGGTGCCCCTCATTAGAAGTATGTGATGTAACTTGTTCATAAAAATTACATTTTGATTCTTGACAAAAATGCTGACAATTGACAACTAAAGGTATATCTAAAGGTATCCTCACTGGTCATAATTTCCAAAAGCCAACAAAGAAGAAGCTACATTACAACTGGGGATAAAACATTATTTATATTCCCCACATAGTAGTACAAAACCCACTAGAGTTGATGCAAAGATATGACCCTTGATAAGTGACATAGGCAGACTTTTGTGTTAGTTGACTAGGTTTGTCATTTCTAACTGCCCAGACAAGCAATTTCTTTCATATTCAGTACAGTCTGACTTTTAACTGTGATCCTTAAAGCAATTATGTTTTAATAAATACCACAAAATCCTTTGTTTCTAAATACTGAAGTTTTATTTTATTTATTTTAATTTATGTTTGCATTCAGTGATTGTGGATCTCTGTAAAAAAACCCATTTCAACCATTCCAATTTTGTGTAACAACATTTCCATGCATTCTTTTGGAATTCAAGCCTTGGTACATGATTTACCATTGAATAAATAGACTGTCTATGTTACTGTTTAGATTAAACTGTTAACAGAAACTTCCCCCACTAAAAATTACTCTTCAACACCCAAATTCTGAAATCAGAAGGTAGAGCAGGCAGTTATGTTTCCCTTAGGAATGCACAGATCAGCCTACGCCTGCCTTTTAATCTCTAAGTGGCTGACATGTCACCATGTCCCATAAATATGGCAGATTAGTCTGAAATGCACTATATTTATCTCAAAGGCATAGTCAAAAAGGAAGAAAAAGTATCTTTTGGGAATAGATAACAAAGATTAAAAGCATTTTCAAATAATAATTCCTAAAGATTAAGAAATCTGAAGATTTCTTCTAACTCATGGACAAGAATCCCAGAATTTCATGGTCACATTAAATGCACTATACAAGATAGAATGAGTTCGGCTAATTGTGGCTGCAATATTAATTTGAAAGGTCTGTGTTCATTATGTGATTATCTGAAGTTCGAAGAAAACTTTTAATTTGAGAACTTCCCAGCTTTGACCCCAGTTTATTAAATTGCCTTTAGTCTCCATTTTGATATTGTCATTTGCTCGGGGTTACACAGTGAACAGTGAAAAAGGACTTAGGTCTGCTGGTCAACATGAACATGAACCTGAGCCAGCAGAGTGCCCAGGTGGCCAAGAAGGCCAATGGCATCCTGCCCTCTATCAGCAATAGTGTGACCAGCAGGACCAGGGCAGTGATTGTCCCCCTGTATGTGACACAGGTGAGGCCACACCTCAAATCCTGGGTTCAGTTTTGGGCCCCTCACTACAAGAAAGACATTGAGGTGCTGGAATGTGTCCAGGGAAGGGCAATGGAGCTGGGAAGGGGCTGGAGCACAAGTCTTACAAGTAGCAGCTGAGGGGAGAAAAGGAGGCTGACGGGAGACTTCATTGCTCTCTACAATACCTGGAAGGAAGTTATAGCAAGATGGGGGTCAGCCTCTTCTCCCAGGCAGCTAGTGACAGGATGAGAGGAAATGTCAGCAGGCTGCACCAGGGGGGATTCGAGTTGGACATCAGAGAGAATTTCTTCACTGAAAGGGTGATTAAGCATTGGAATGGGCCGCCCAGGGGAGTGGTGGAGTCACAGTCCCTGGAAGTGTTACAAGAAAAGACTGAATGTGGCACTTAGTGCTGTGGTTTAGTTGACAAGGTGGAGAGCAGTCAAAGTTTGAACTCAATGAACTTGGAGGTCTTTTCCAACCTTAATGACTCTGATTCTATAATTCTATGAACACTGATAGAAACACCAGATTGCTTCCTTCCCTATAGAAATCTTGTGTACTGTGACTTTTCAACACTGCAACAACATTCAGAGAGCAATTATCTGATTGTTTTACTGAATATGAGGCTTTATAGTTGTCTGTGTTTCTCTACATTAATATTTGTTTAAAGATCGAAGCATTTTGACCTGAGCTTTATAAATAGGCCTAAATAAAACATCTTGTAGTGCTTCTCCATATATTGAACAAGGCAAAACTACTGGATCTTCTTATGCTGCATTTTGCACATAGAAATAAGAGGTTTCCACAGGTGGAATTTTTTTTGTTTTCTGACAGTTATGATGTGCCTAATTATATTTTATAGGTATGAGACCTGTAGTACTAATTAGGATGCTTGCCAGCCATCTTCTACAGGTTTTTGCCCAAGCTATCACTAAAAGTTCTCCATACACTAAATAATGCAAGCAATGCCTGAAACTAAACTTCTCCTGTTCTGTACAGTTGAGGTATTTTTCACCCAAGCCCTTCAGCATTGCCTTCTGCTGGTACTTCAGTGAAGCAAACAAACCGACCCATGAAGTCATCTGTTTTCTTTGAGCTCTGCTGTTAGGATTCAGCTCTGTAGAGGCATGGCATTTATAGTTTTAAGTACAGTTTTGGAGATTGAAGTGCCTCACCATGTCAGCCCGCCTGTGTTTGGAGAGCTGTGACAATACAGTGCAAAGATGAGACCTCCAGCCCCAGCAAGCTGCCCTCTTTGTCTACAAGCTGCTTCGCAGTTGTGCTTGCTGTGGTACAAGAAACACAAAAGATCAAACACTTGGCTCATGTTTTCAATTTTGACCAGCCTTTAGGGGACAGGAGATGTGGGTTCCCTCTGTCCATGGCAGAGGGAAATGTCATCTGAGAAACTTTCAGTCAATTTCATGGTGCTTTGGAATGGCCTGGTTATATGTATGCATGATAAAACAGAAGCTTAGGTATTTTTGAACTGCAGCTGTTTCTTCAGCTGCACTGCAGTTATGATTTCTTGTGCTCTATCTACAAGAAAGAAAGTGAGACTTTGTATTTTCTGACCAGTCAATGCCTTATTAGTATCTTAGTTGGTGTCTTTTCCTTCTTTTCAAGGACAGTAATGGGTCTCTTTCAATTATATTTTTTTGGAAGGTAAGCTGCTTTCTTGTGTTCTTGTCTACACCCAAATATTTATCTCAGTTACCAGTGATGTATCAGTAGCATGAAAAGTAGGGATCCTGCAGGGATCCTTCCTTCCCATACTGTCCTACCTGCACAAACTTAAGGTTACTTTATCTGCAGAGCAGGAGGGGATGGGGTTGCACTCTACCCATGCAGCACTGCAGCTCCAAGCTCACATTTTTTGCCTTACATGCTGTTTGTGGCACGCTGACCTTTCTTTCCTTCCAAGAAGTCAGCCCACAGCCACAGAGCTAATGTCCAAAGCCCTCCCAACTTTCCATGGCTCAGAAGCCTGTGTGCATACTGCCAGGCTGGACTGTCAGCATTGCTGGATTTATTGGCTTGTACTGCTTTGTGTCATGGTGACCTGACTTGAACAGAGGGTTTGTTTTTAGTTTAGTTCTCTTTTTCCCCTTGGAAAATGAAAAGGGAAAAAGGAATATTTGAGGTTTTTTTTTTTTTTTTTTTGGTTTAAAATTTATGTGTTTTTTTTCTCAATGAATGTTATTAATTTATTGGATTGACGTTATTTGCATGCAGAATGGTACTGTAACTTCTCGGATGCTTGGGCAGAAACATGCAGTAAAAGGTGCCTGCATGGATATTAATAACTAAGTTAAAATTTATCTGTCTGTTTACCTTAAAGAGAAAATAAATAATCCTCAGAAAACAGTCCTTCACTGCTGTTGGAACTAATTCAGCAGCTGCATAACTTTAAGTACGTGAGCAGTGCTGCACCCTTGATGTATTTTTTCATTTGTATTTAGGAATTTTTTTCCTGGGTTGAGCCCACCATGCTCTGTATGAGGTATTTAAAGCAAATAAAGGATATGGTGAGCTTACATTTAATTCTAGACTATCCTTTAAAACTGGCAACATTTCCATTTCTTGCCAGTGTGGGGTAGGCTTATTATAAAAATACCATCATGAGTCTTTTAGCCATAGATCATGTTTTTCTGACCATGAAAAGCAAGTTACCTTTTCACCTCCACAGATACAATAGTTCCACCAATTTAGCATTCAGACATACCAGTGAGGAAGTTCTCACAGTGTCATTTAAACAGTCTCACTCTATTGCATTTTCCCACACTCAATTTAAATACCCACCCAGCCAGTTCATTACTAAAATCTCTTTTTGCTGTGTTGAGGAAAAAAGAAATACATCATTGTCAGGAATTCAGAATACCGCATCAGTGAGCTTCACAGCTGTGTACTTTCAAACAGGAGGCTAGATTGGATGAAAAACAGCTAGTGAGCACAATAAACATCTTTGACATCAAGTCAGAAATAACTGGGCAGACTAGTACAGATACCTTTGTGTTTTACAGGTGAGATTTATGTGAATATCACCATAAGTTGCACATTCCATCTTGGATGTACAATTTTCACATATGCCTATTTTTCATATACTGGATACTAATAGAGCAATGCTTTTACACTTCATACTCTGAATTGTTGGTTTATGTCTAGCCTGAGACTCTAACTTGTGATGTCTCCAGTTGAGAATAATGTTCTCATCATGACACTGCTCAAAGAAACTGATATTTTCTGGCAGGACTGTTTTGAGCATGAATATGGAAGCACACTAATATATGCATGGAAGTATGCATCCAGAAAGGTGTGTAAGTGGCCTTAGAATACTTGAAAAAGTAGCACCGAGTGACCTGCAATCACTATGCAGTTTTAAAAGTAAATTTTGTGTCAAAGGAATATACAGTTACATTATATAGTGCCCGAATAAGGCTGATTTTATACTAAAATTAAAAGGATCTCTAATTCATTTCCAGAAGTAAGGAAGCTCGAAGGAGCTTTCGTGTATTTTATAAATTCCCTCAAATGGACACATCTATTCAAAAGGCATTTAATTGCAGCTATTGCCAACTTACCTCAAAGGAAAGGCAAAACCAACTCTATGAATAACAGAGTTTCACACGCTATTTTTTCTGTCAGTATGTGTCTTTTGTAGAAATGCATTTATAAAAATATCGTAATTCACTTTATGCATCATCACAATACAAAAGCAGTTTGAGTGGAATGAGTTTTCACGTGCACCTCAGAGACAGTAAGGGTCACAACTTCGGTGTTCAAGGAAGGAATTGAAACGTTGGGCTGGCAGGTGGCAAACTGTTACATGTAGGAACCTTCCTCTTGTTAGAAATATTTGGAGTTGTTGTGTCTGAAATGGGGACAAAGATGCCTGTAGTGCAATTAATATGTTAGTAATATGTAAAACATGGATTTCGCTGCTCCACATAAGCATATTCTATTACAGACAAAATAGAAGACACTTGACAAACATTAAACACTCTTAAATAGAAAAAAAACGTGACATAATACCATCAGGACAGATCCTCAAGCCTGACTGTGAGGCATAAACACACAATGGATGAGAATATTGTCTTTTGGGACCTTCATCACTGCACATCAAGCGTTGGTCACCTGACAACGACAAGACTTACTTAAAAATTTAGAAGTTTTGTAATCCAAAGCAGAGCTTACACTATAGTCACGCTGTGAGTTGGGCAGTTCACTTCTTAACAAATATTTTACAGAATCGCACACCCAGTTGCTGTTAGATGTAGTTCATAGTGATGGCTACAGCCAGCTTAGATTTTACTGGGAGACAGAAACTGCTCCCCTTTCTCAAGCTTCAAAATACAGGTCATGTGTCTGTTTGGCTGCCCACAACCAAAAGGTTGCACAAATGATTAAAACACAACATTAAAAAAAAAAAAAAATCCAAACATCTGAAATTCTGAAAAAATTACTTCATGAAGATTTTCATTTAAAGTATCCTTAAAGTTTTCCTTGAAGACAACTATTAATTTTAAGAAAAACTACATGATAGAGAAAAGTACAACCAAAGGCTGGTCACTCTAGCAGTGCATGACATGGTAAAGTTTCTGAATTTCACACAACCTCTAAATCCCAGTTCTGATATTTATAAAACATTTATTCTCCACTCCTTCCTATGCCTTCAACACACTTTCTTCCCCAATGGGTTACTTGGATGTGTAATGCATTAACACTTTGCAGAGACTTTGTAATCCTCAATGAAAAAAATCTGTAGAAAGCCAAATAATCCTTAAGTTTGAGACATGTTTGGACTGATGCTCATATTTCTCTGTATTTAACATTCAGGATCATGATGGATATAATTTACAATTTGTTGCCATTGTTTTTATTTTTTGAAAAAAAAAAGGAACTTGTGTAAGATTTCTGTATTTTCCTCTTGTGAAGAGAAGCTTTCATCTATATATTTGTACATCTGAAATAATAGCTTTCAAGTATTTTTGTAAAAGTGTTGTCTAGCTACGTTGTGTCATGTCCAATAAACTGGGGATGTGCTTACTTTGTAGTAGTATGAGAAGTGTTTAACTCTTCAGTTACCAGTAGATGCAAAGAAATCCTCTAGATTGATTAGGAAGTAAAGCTACAGAACGGCTCTGTGCTGTAACTGGACATGGATCTGCAGTCACCAGTACCAGGCTTGGTGGAGCCACTTTGTGCATGCTGTCCTACAGAGCAGCTGCCAGGAGGCTGATTTCAGTGGGGTTACTTGGGCAGCTCCAGGTTAGACACAGCACACACTGATGATTATTTATTGATTTAAACCCATATGGCTGAGGAAGGGGGCAGAATTATTTGCCATTTTGTTTTAAATTCAAACCTTCTACAAGACTCAAAGTAACAGGAGACGACAACATTCTATTTATTTATTTATACTTACATGGAAGGTAGTGACTTTATGTTTCTATACACTGGCAATTGCAGTTTTCATTGAAGAGAAGTTACAAGGCACTCCTGATCTTCCAGCATAAATACATACAAAGGAAAAGTGTTTTTAAAAGTCTGCCCTGCCATGGGTACTTTCCTTGTTGCTGGTCATTGACTTGGCCTGGTGCAACCTTTCCTTGGCTGTACCAACAGGGCACATCACCTCTGGCTTTTGAAGAACTGTAGTGCTCAGGTGATCCTTTCCCCATCCTTAACATGTCCCACTTCCCACCATGCTGCCTTCTAACGTGGTGTGCAATAGGCCAGGAGTGGGACTCGCACCCTGGTGAGGAGCAGAATAGCCATCGACTGGAGAGACCACCCCTCTCTCTTCCTATTCTGAGGAAGCATTGACAACTCAGGTCTGGTCTGCTGGTTTGGATGTAGCCCCTTTCTAAGGATGTGCTGGAATGTTAGTGTGCCCTCAGAGAAGCATTAGTCATGCCAACAATGTCAATACTCATGGACATTACTTCCACATAATGCAGAACTTCTAGAAAGTGATGTTTCATTTTCATTTCTGAATGTCCTTGTTCTTGTGAATTGATCTCTTGGATATTATCAGTACTCCTTGTGCACATCACAAACAGTTTGACAAGGCTGGGATTTAGCACACAGATTTATTTTTTTTTTTAAATAATTTAATTTTAAAAATTCCATGAAGTATAAAACACCAGGGGAAGACATTTAGTCAGTACAAAAATACATAAGTTACTTTCAGGTAGAAGTTCTATTAGCAGCTAGCACACAGAAGAAAATAATATGAAAGTCTTTGAGATATTTTGAGACTTTAAACTACAAGGTGTCGAAGTTTAAGATTGTGGTCCTACTTAAATATGCATTCAGTTGAGCACACCTGCATTGGTAGATTTATTTAATCCCCAATTATTTATTTACACAATGATGGCCCCTTTGGATTGAGTGGAATGACTTCATACATATATGCTCTGTCCCAGTTCAGCCTCTTTTGCTCAAAAAGAGTTTTGGGTTTTGTTCTTTTTAACAGACATGGTAATGGAAGGGTATAAGGAATGAAATAAGTTTATTCATTATTTGACATACAGTGCTAAGCCCTTTGAAGTAGAAGTTTTTGCTTTGACCTTTAGTGAATAACAGCCTGCCTAAATGAGATGGGTGTTTTTATTGTGACATCTCAGACTCCATAATGACACAGCTGCTGTCGAGCCTGACTCATCTCTGCACAGCACAGGTGAGCTTCCACTTAAACATACTAATGAGTTCATGCAATAATCACAGCAAAGACTATTTTGTGATTATCTAAGTGAAAGAAAGGGGTGTCAGAGATCCTGCTGTGCAGGAATTCAGATGAAACCACCATTTCCTTTCATATGTGTTATCAATAAAGATGCTACAGCACTGGAGAAGGCACCAAACTGAGCCAAGGGTGAGGTGATGCTGGGAGAAGGTCCACTGTCCTAAATCACCCCCTGTGCTGCATTGGGTTTGTGCATTTACCACTGTTTTCCTCAAATGTTCCTGCAGGGAAGGCTGACCCAAACAAGTGCCTTGGAAACCGAAAAGTGAAGAGATGTTTGTTCCTGCTGCCTTCAGGAGATGAGCTGTTTGTGAGAGATGCACACAAATACACCATGATAAACACTCTTTCTTGGTTTTCCCTCTGGATAAAACTATGCAGAAAAGCTAATTGTGTTAGCTAAAAAGCCACAATATTCACCTGAGTTTCTCATGCTGATATGTTTACAGACATCTGGACATTTGGCTTCCCAGTTCATTTAGTCAGGAAATATTTCAGGGATCATTTAAACGAAGAACAGAAAAACTTATTAAGGAAATGCTTTGAGAGGGGCAGAACCTGAACCTCTTTATACAAATTGGTTCTGTGCTGCTCTGAAGGAAAAATTAATTGTGCTGGTTTGTTTTGCATCATCTGAACTTCAGAAGGATGTGGAGGGCAGAGAGAAGGACCCATCTGGAAACAAAACAGTGTTATAAATCACAGCTGGATGCTGGATAAAACACTCCTATGACATCCACTGCAGGTTTCTCAAGGAAGGTCTGGGGAGCAGGACATTGTGCAGAAAAGCCATTTTTCCCATCCAAGGCAGGCAATTTGTCACAATTATAGAAAAGAAGCAGCACTTTACAGGACAAATAAAAACATTGCTCAACCAACAGCAACAGCAGGAAATAACAAACTTTAAATGACCATTTAAGCCAGGGTTTTATGTAAGGATGTATTTGCATCACTGCTGCCCAGCGCAATTTGTTTGCACCAAAATGTCACTGAGGTCTTCTGCTATCTACCTGCTTCTTTTACATGTCCCTGGAAGGTGCCACCAGGATTGGGGATTTTCCCTGCTGATAGGCATTCTGCTTGTTTTGTGGTAATTCAGGCCTCACAGTTGTCACTGCTTTCACAGTCTCTGTTTCCAGCACTTTGTGCTCAGCTTCCTGGCTCAGGTGCACTGAAACCCTAATCTTTGTTATCTTCTGGTGAGGCCCTTTGCAAACAGCATGTGTTTTATTCTAGGAACCAGTTGTATCCTGCATGCTAATTAATTTATTTGGACAAACACTCTGTAGATTGGTCAAGCTCAGGTTTCTTATCTTTCTTCCGCCTAGGTTTGGGAATTGTCCTCTGAAAGGTTTCTCATGGGGCTTCCCAGCACGCAGCTGTCTCACCTGCTTACAACTATGCTGATGTTTCCCCAGTGATGCCATGAGCATATGGTCACGTCTGGACTGTAGAGCCCCTCAAATGAGTATGGTTGGAGCCTGTGGCTTCTGCTCTGCTATGGTGTGACATGTTGCAAGCCCTCCATACCCCCATCCCGCCCCAAGCCCACTAAAAGCTGACTCCCTATCCCTCTCAGCCCCCTGCACCTGCTGGTGGGGATGGATCTCATGGCTGCACTAGCCAAAGCATGGCATTTCCAACCTCATTTTGAAAATAGCCCCAATCCAGATGTGCTGCATGATTCCCTTTGAATGTGTTTTTTGTAAGAATAGAAAAGCAATGACCATCAACAAAACTAAATCACTGATGTTTTTCATTCCGATAGGACTCTAATCCCTTGTAAGGGCACCCTAGAGCCATTAACAGTAATTTTAAATGAAATACACCTGTGCTGGGTCTAACTAATCAGTTGCTCAATTATACTGGCAGAAAGATATATTCCAATTACCAAAGTACTTTCAAGTGAATTAAGGCTGCTTTCTGTACCGGCTGTGGAAGTCACTCAATGTTCCCATGAATCCCTGCATGTTTACATTAAAAAAGCACACCATGATCTTTGGCAAAGGCACTCGGTCTAGGCTAGTTCAGCTTTTGAGCTTGATGCCATAAATACAATAGAAAAGCAGCCAACCGTTGCACAAGAAGCCAAGAATATCTTTCAATACTTTGTTTCCGTATCAGTAATTAATCCAAATGACACGGGAAAAGCTTTACAAATGTGAAGTAAGTTTAAAAGATGAAAGTGCAAATACCTTATTTACCATGTTTAATAAGCACAGTGTTTGTGTTAGAAATACAGTTCGTTTTTGAAGGAATGGATCAAGCCCAACTAACGAGAAAATGTTCTGAAGGGGAGTATGAACTGACTTTGCCACCTGCTCAGTTTTCACCTGTGCCATTTCCTTGCATCACTGAAGTTTCACCTCTTTAGGCAGGAGGCTCTGGACGGCCTGGCTCATGTCAGCACACATTCCATACGTCACTTTCTCAGTAGTTCACATTGAAGCCTTATCAATAATAAAGCCATAAAGATCCACTTCTCCAAACGCATGAGAATCATGTCCTGTAAGGTGCCTTAATACAATCAAGTAATGAAATGTGTCTTCACTCTTTCTGTTAAGAAACAGATGTTTCATCCCCTGAGAGTTTTCAATTTGGTGTTAACACACCAATGTTGTGTTAAACAGCAATTTAAGTATTTTTATATTTAAATGCTCACTGAAATGTCAAAAGCTATCAAGCCAGAACATTTGTTTCGCAGTTAGTTATTCCCTTATGCCAAGTAAAATGGGACACTGAGAAAATGAGTGATGAGATCTATTTTAGAGCTTAGTCTAGACCCCAAACTAGTGTATGTTCAGTCCTGCAGATCAGGGGATCTAAAGCCAAGGAGCCTGCATCTACAGGGGAAAGGGTAGAAAACTAATAGAAACCCCATCTCTTTTATTTTTAAAATAAAATCAGCGATGAACTATCATTTTTGGTGAACTATAAAAATACAGATATTCTCTATTTCCTCTTGTGCCTATTTGCTGTGCAGAGCTGGGCATCCGTGGCAGCTCCTACCACGCCTGCTTTCATGGTCCTCAGCAGGAACAGAAGGGAATCCAGCCACAAGTTCTGGCCCCAGGTGGAGCTGTTGCAGTGCAGCTGATATAGGCACAGGCCCATCCTGCCAGGCACAAGAGAGCAGCAGGGCAGGGCAGGTGTCTCCGGGTACCCACACACAACTGCCCCTGCACTTACCCACTTTTTGAAAGTCCCTGTGGTGCCGGGGAGTGTTGCAGGGCATGAGTGGTGACAGGGCCCATCACAGATG